CACAAAAAAAAAAGGAGAGAGAGAGAGAGAGAGAGAGAGAGAGAAAGAGAGAGAGAGAGAGAGAGAGAGAGAGAGAGAGAGAGAGATACTCCTTCCCTGACCAGTACAGTAAAAACACTGAGAAATTCTTATTTATCGTTTTCATTTTTCTATTATATAGTCCACGCACTAAATACTAACCTTTCATCATGGTATTTCAGATAAGATATAACTGATAAAACAGACTCAAGAACCACCCTAGTGCCCTAGGTAATCATGTGGACATAAAAATAACCCTACCCATTATCTCATTTGAGCCTTACAACTATCTTATAAAAGCAGATTTTAGAGATTAGTAAAGTAAAACTATAAAAGGTTTACTTGCCATCTTCCTTCCACCCAAAAAAAAGGCATGAGAATATAGTTTTTTTTTAATCAAAAAAGCACTTAGCACTGAAATCTAAAAATTTCATGAAAATAGCATGGAATTCCAAATTCATGAAAATAACATTTAAGAAAAACTTAACAATACAAATGATCAGTCACTTTTAAAAACAACATGGCACGTTTATAGTTAGACAGGCACTTACCACATGACCCAGTAATCTCATTACAAGGTTTTTAACCAAGACAAATGAAAACAGCACACAAAAACATGTACTGAATGTTCATAGAAACTTTACTCATAATGACTAAAATCAGTCCAAATGTCTATCAAGTTTTAAAAAGAGAAAGCCAGGAACAGGATTACAGAATCTCCATACTCAAAAGACCTAGGCAGAAGGTTGGTCAAGTTGGAAGACTACCTGAGCTACATAGTTAAGTTTGAGTAAAACCTTCTGGTATAAAGTGGGATCTTGTCTCAATTTTTTAATTATAAATTTATGAATGAAGAGTAATACATCCAGTCCTCAATAAAGAGGAACAAACTAGTGAGATAATGATATATCCTGGATAAATCAGAAAAGCATGCTATTGGAAAGAAACCATACACAAAAGACTATGATTGCATGATTCCATTGAACTAAAATTTTAGAAAAGCAACTATAGTACCAGCACATTAAGAGGTTGCCACAGTTGAGGGACAAGAACTAGACCAAAAGAGACTGAAAGAAAGCTATTAAGAGTGCTGGGTATGTCCTGTATCAAGTCTGTAGTTTTTTGTTACATGGCCATAAATATTTGGCACAATTCATTAAAATTTAATTTCAAATTATTTAATTTATAACTTCATAAGATCTACTTAAAATTCAATAATTGATAATTGCATTTAATATTAACAGCTTCTGTAGCATAGGCATTACCTAGAAGTCTTTTTAAAAAGTGAAACTCAGTATTTAAGAGGTAATGTTCAATAAGAAAATAGAAATATAGGACTCTAAAAGGTCCTAAGACTAGAACAGGCCTCGTCTTACTCTAGATATGCAGAGTAAACAGGAATAGTTGCTGAGCAACTAGCCTAACGTCTACGTTTCTAATAAATATATAGATGGTATAAACAAGTGTTCTCTGAGATAAACTAAATTTTACAGTAAAGAGTTAAGAACAAAAAATTAATGTATTTATCTAAAGTAAGAATGAACAAGAAATATATACTAAAAGTAGATAATGAACACTAAACAGCATGATATTAAATATAAACACACAAGGAAAATCATTGTCCACATTTAGCTTTTTATCAGGACTTTAACTTACCTAACTTACAGGCTTGTTTAGTACCTGAGTTTGTAGGTAAGCCTTTCTGCCTTTACTACTTTAAGCCCTTCTGTCACCAAACAAAGTGACTCAATACTTTTATATATTTATATATCATTAAGTGTATTCAAGGGTCCTTTTCTAGATGTTCAATGAGCCTAAGGATTTCTCTTTAGATGGTAGAGTCTGTGGATATCACAGAAAAATACAATACTAACATGCATGCATATAATATACTAGAAAGTCAAATCTAACTTTATACTTAGATTATAAATTATCAAAATCAAAAATTACAAAAAATTCCTAAGTAAACAAACTTGTTACATGTTAAGCATCATTTCTATCTCACTAGACATAGTATGTCACAGTTTAACACCAGGAAAAAGATCAACTCTCAACACATCACTCCCAGTTCAGCACTCTCACCAACCACATTATTTTCAGTTTTGCTGAGCACTTACCCCTCTTCTGAACCCAACCTTCTTTCACAATGGTTACATCGCTCATGATGGCTCCCCTCTGAGCCCCCAACGTGGAGAAAAGGTACTTTGCAGTATCAGCTTTAGAGTTTGGATGATGATGATGATGATGATGATGCTGCTGCTGCTGCTGCCGCCCTTCCCACTCTCTAGTGATGACTCAGCCTGAAAGGAAGTATTGAAGAAAGAATTTCTTTTTTTTTTTCCATTCTTGCAACTCACAGAGCAATAACAAACAACCAAGTCTTTGTAAATGTCTTCAACTGGCCTGCCCGCACATAAAAGTCTAGCTCTTCAAACTGGGGGGCTTATTTATTAAATAGTTCTATTACAAAAGCACTGCTCTGGTCTTGTGACAGATTTCAAATGGTAGTGAAACTTTTAACCTGAGACTGAAAATAAACTGTCTTAATAAAACTGCTGTCACACCTATACAAATAATTCAGAAGGCATGTTTGGTAATATGCTTGAGGTGAAAAGGGAAAAAATGAAAAATGAAACTTAAGTGGTCCAAATCCCTCTAGTTTCAGAAATAATTATGTCAAAGTAATTATAAATATTTTTAATTGCTGTACTTTATGTAAAAGGCAATGTGCCAAGAAACTAACATTTACATATTCTTTTTTTTTTTTTGGTCTTTTTGAGACAGGGTCTCCCTGTAGCCCCAGCTGGTCTGGAACTCACTATGTAGACCAGGCTGGCTTTGAACTCATGTTCTTAATCTTCCTTGATTTAGGAAACATTTTAAGTAGCATACATGAAGTACATAAAATTGTCATTTATTATTTTAAATACACACAGAAAATGAAACAAAGGAAATACAAAAATAGAAAAAGATGAACATTAAAGATCTGCCAAGAACTGTCCATCTACTGTTCTCTGGTAATCTTCCCAACTCTGTAATGGCACTATTAACTACTACTCACAGATAGGAAACTGAGGCTCACAGAGACTGAGTAACCTACTAGATTTCAATATAATTGACTGATGGAGCCAAGATCTGAACTCTGACTCCATGACTCCAGAGGCCACACTCCATTTCAAAATGATACAGACATAAGGTAAAAGGAAGTCAGAGCAAGTTTACATGTGAAAGATGAGTCAAAAATTTGGAATGAAGTTTTTAGGAAAAGTGTGAAAATGAAAACATGATAGGTTTCAATATTTACAGTATCTATCAACTTTTTTTTTTTTTGTCTTTTTGAGACAGGGTCTCAATTCCAGCTGTCCTGGAATTCGCTATGTAGACCAGGCTGGTCTCCAACTCACAAAGATCCACCTGCTTCTGCCTCCCAAGTGCTAGGATTAAAGGCGTGCGCCATCACACCCGGCAGTATCAACAATTTTTAAAAGTAAAAGTTGTTCAGAAGGAATACAGTGCTTCCTAGAGCAAAATTTAGCAATTTATCCTTAGTCTTCACACAGTATCTTATAATGAAATGACTTACTCAAAAGTATCCTACATATATTAACAGCAGGATTTATTGTCACCCCTAACAATCTAAAAAGGGAACTATTACCAAAAATTCAGTGGAAAAATTCATTTCCACTTTCACAAAAATATAGATCAGATACAGTGCTGTTAAGTGGTCTAAGATGGAATGCATAAAATTTAGGTGACCAGAAAAATATGTGGATAGAGTAACTACTATTCTGTGAGGTTGGATTTTCATAAACAGTGCACAGCATTGACAAGGTTAATGGACTTTATGGCTAGTATTGAACTGCAAGTCTTTCACCAATACAAATTAAGTGTGAAGTCTAACCATTCAGCTATCAGCCATCAAGGCTCAACTTCCTCTAAACAACCTGGCTAAGAAAGGCTACATGGCTCAATAAAATACCATCCACACCATGTGCCATCAGGCCAAAGGTAATACATACAGGAAGGGCCATGACTAGTCAAAAAAATCATCATAGGGATCCAGTTGCTGGAGAGTAAATGAGGATAGTGTAATCTGAGTCTCTTTCCCCAAAATATAATTGACAGAATATTAACCTAGAAGAAGTTTAGGAAAATTTTATAAACCATGTAAGCCATGTCCTCTTTAAGTATCTCTAGTACCAACATTAGTCTAAAATGATAATCTTACATAATAGATGATTTACTCCAGTAATCCATACACCGAATTACTGCCAGAGGAAATGATCATTGCTTAGAAGTATACCTAATTTGCATCAAAAACAAGATAAAAGAAAAAAAAGTCCTAAGTAGACAGTCAAAATCATTTTATTTTGATTGATAAACTATTCTGAAGAGCTCAACATGGCCAACTGGCTCCATCCTAGAGCTAGATAAACGAATGGGCTAACTCCTTACACTGCATGAAGAATTGTAAGCAAACTAGAGACGGCCAGTGCAAGAGGACATCAGGAGCTGCACTGCAGCTTTCTCTTTGGTAGTACTCTATAAAAAGGCTCCATACCTACTGGGACTTTTTTTTCTGATTATAGAACTACATGATCTAACAAAAGATAATTCATATCCTATTATACTTAGGAATAAAGTGGAAGAAAGATCAGGGTAACAATAACAACAAAAAACATATCCACTAAAAGAGATACTTCCAATTAAAATCATTTCCATTAGAATGTACTTATAAAGAAAACTAGTCTTTTTTAAATTGATCCATATCGACCCAAATCAATTGATCTTATTTTACAAATATAACTGTTTCTGAAAACTAGTTTCTTAAATACACACATACTACTGCTTATAAATTGATTAATTTTTAAGAATGTACATTAAACTAATAAGAAAAAATTTCAGTTCTTGATAAGGGCCAGCGAATCCAAGTATTAGAGATAGTTTTAACCAGTTGTGGTGGTGCACGCCTTTAATCCCAGCACTAGGGAGACGGAGGCAGGTGGATCTGTTTGAGTTCGAGGCAAGGCTGGTCTCAATAGTGAGTTCCAGGCCAGCTGGGACTACATGGGAGACCCTGTCTCAAAAAGACCCCCCAAAAAGATGGTTTTATTCATTTTTATCTTTATCTGTTACAAAACTCTACCCATAATCACAGCTTTCAACTTTAAAAACTGTCCCTCAGTCTCTAATTGGCTAAAATGGCATCTTCTTCAAACATAACCTAAAAGATATCGTAAGTGTAATATGATCCTTAGATCGGCCTCAAATGCTGTGTTCCATTACAGCAATGCTATTGGCTCCTGCGCAGTAAACAGTGTTGTCTGATTTAGTTTTCCTAAGTGGCTCAAGTCATCAACACTCTCCTACTTAAGTCTTCAGTGTTTCCTTAAACACCAGTCCACAGATGAGCTAAAATCACATCACCTATTTCCTCTGGTAAAGTGAATTTCACCTCTTTCCATAGCGTCTATAGAAACATTTTCTCTCCAATGAGTTACACAAAACAAAATTCAGTTTAAGTCTATTGCATTAAACATTTTATTGCTGGATAATCTAATTTTTATCATTCTTATTAAAAGTTTCACAGGAAATTCATAGTAGATTCATGAGTGTATACTAAGCAGTCACAATAAAGATATTTTCATTCACAATTCACTATTAGATAATTTTATAATAACTACATTTGAATGTAACAAAATATTTCACATCTTTAATCCATTTAATCACAATATAAATTACTATACCAATCTGACAAGTACAGACTAAGTGAACAAGTGGATGAATGAACAAAGATGTAGCTTTAAATGATAAAACAAACAAGCTGAGCACACAAGTATCCTAAGTCAACACAAGAATGGGATTATGATTATGCCCACCTTTAACACAAAGCATTATGGTCTTATTCATGTATAAATCATTAAAATTCCTACTACATGTTAAATCATGTCATGGACCCCCATGAAGCACAAGGACTAAATCACATTAAAACCATCCTCTTTTTTCTTGACATTAAAAAAAAATTGTTGTTGAGATCATCAAGTTTCAACTCCAAACAAAAGAAACTCAATACTACACAAAAGTATTCATTACAGGAAGAAAAAGGAAAGAATGGAATATTTTCCTAATGATGCTTTAAAGAATGTTTCAAAGATACTTGCTTACTTCAGCAATCATGCAATAAACCTTCAAACATGTTTTAGAATATCATTCATGCAAAAAATACGAACTATACAAATACATATACACATTGTTAATAAATACGTTGTCTGCTCTGTGAGAACTAAAAGAGTACTTCAGGTCTTTTTCAAGCTGTCTTCCAAGGTCTTTCACTTCTATGACCTATTTGACTCTGAAATGTCTAGTAGCTAATGCATTCATCACTGTGAACCTAAGAAAACTATGACCACCAATAATGATGACATTATTTCAGTTATACTAATCTAGGACTATCAAGAAGCGCAACCACTTGCACCTAACATCTTCCAACAGTTTCATATACTTTTTACCAAATAACAAAGTATGAACTATCAAATGTTACTGTCATTTGCAGAGTTCTGACTTTTTTTTTTCCTGTATAACATGGTCTTCCAAAAGTTCAAGAAAGCAAAATGCTTTAGAGTAAATAAAAAATTAAGTAAAACTGTTCATGTTCCCAGACCCCAATCTTATCTGAAAAAATACTGGCAAGTGTTTGCTGCTAGATGAAGAAGAGCTGATCCTCCTAATTCTAGACAGGCTGACTAGACCTCAGTGGATGGACTTATAACTATGGAACGTCTGGGGACACTGACTTAACACAGTGGACCTTAATAGGGAAGACAGAGTATATGAGCTCCAGTGGGGAGGGGGGTATAGGAGGGTGCCAGTGAGGATGGGGGTATAAAATTTATTAAGATTGATTGGATGTTCTATATGAAATACACAAAAATTCAATTTAAAAAAGTTTGGGGGGGGTTTTTTGGTCTTTTTAAGACAGGGTCTCCCTGTAGCCCGAGCTATCCTAGAACTAACTATGTAGACCAGGCTGGCCTTGAACTCACAGAGATCTGAAAAAAATTCAATAAAAACAAACTTAAAAGATTTTTTAAAATTAAGTAAAACCAAGAACCAAAAATGAAATTAAAACAAAACCCAGCAATTCTCTTTCAAACAAATATATACAAAGTTCCTAAGTTAATTTCTGGTGTGTTTCTCTCTCTCTCTCTCTCTCTCTCTCTCCCCCCCCCTTTCCTCCTCCCTCCCCCCGATCTGTGGCCCAAGGTCTCCTTGAATTCATTATGTCCCAAACCTGCAGTGA